TAGAATGCAGAAAGTTCTTAAAATGTAATAAAATATTAACAGGTATCATACAGCATCTCCATCAAAAAGAGCCTCCCCCAATGTTTCCGGTTTAGAACACAAGTGTATGCCCCCCACCTACAATCCCTGCCGGTACGAGACTCGAACCCACAACCTTTGGGTTACGAGTCCAACTCTCTAACCATTAGGCCACGACTTCCCCTAATATATAATATATACTGAGGCTTCAAACCACCAGAAAACCACCACAGGCAACAGTGAAAAGTGTTTACATCAGTCGTGTCTACTGCACACAACACCTCACCTCAACACCACACTACTAAAACTACAGCGAGTGACTGAGAAAAAAATGAGTTAAACAAAATGGTGAAGCAAGAATATCCATGTTTAATAATTTGACTCACTATGACTGTCTGATATATATAGAAAAGTCCTTGAAGCACAGCAGCTGCCATGAATTACCACATCTACAGGTCATCAACCTCTCATGTAGGTTTCATTTTCATGAAAATGAAACCGTGTAATTTCTTTGAAAATAAAACTGGGAAGAACAGCATCCAGGTGAGACCTCAAATGACTCTACAGCGTAAAGTCTCCTCTAGTGAAAAATAAATATACTTCAATGTATTTGAAATACATTTATTTCATGCTAAGTATGCTACAGGCTGATTTATTCTTAAAGCGCAGCTGTAATTCTAATGTTTTGTTCACTATTAATTCAACTCTGTTACATGTCCTGATCTGCCTACAGAAAACTGATGATATCAGGTTGCATATTGTGCCTGTTCATACGACCCTTCGGCTACTTCTGCTGTGTTTGATCAATTCACACCAATTTCTCTTCAGCCTTTAGCTGAGGTAGTTGGCCAGCTGAAACCTACAAATTTTGGTTGCAATGTTGTCCCATCAAGATTAGTTAAGCAGACTTTTGATATTGTTGGTCCCAGTATACTGACTTTAATTAATATAAGTTTTAAAACAGCAGTAGTTCCAATAAGTTTTAAGCATGCTATTGTAAAAATTGGAAAAGGTTACTTTAAACCAATTGCAGACCAATTTTGGAAAATTTTCAGTCATGGTGTAAAGCAAATTATGGCACAGAAACGGCGTTGTTGAAAGTTTTAAATTATATTTTCATTGTGGTGCTCGGTGATTTTAGTTTTATTAGACCTCAGCGCAATGTTTGACACCATTGTTCATGATATTCTTGCCTAGAAAAGACCGTAAGAATTCAGGGCATGGCATTTAAATGGTTCAAGTCCTTCCTTTTTAATGGGACTTTCTTTATTTTGGTCAACATTACTCTAAAACGGCCCTATGGTCTAGTGGGGTTCCGCAAGGGTCCATTCTTGGCCCAATCTTGTTTTCATTATATATGCAACCTTATTTCTATAATTATATGCATGGAACATCTTTTCATTGTTACGAAGATGACATTCAGGTGTACCGACCTTTGCAGAAATGAGATAAGCACTGTATTGGTGTTTAGGTTACGGTGTTTACATGAAGTTAAATCTTGGATGTCACAAAATTTTCTGAATTTGAATGAAAGCAAAGCTAAATTAATATGCGCGTACGCACCGGATGCCGTGCGCGCTCAAGGAAGTTGGACATAGTGGTGTATTAGAGGTAAAAAATTATATAAATACTGTTCGGTTTCTGGCACAAACCGATCGTTTCGTGTCTTAGGACATCAATGTGTCGTCACGAGCCGCAGTGTTTAATTTGGATTTGTCTGTGCATGTTTTTTTTACTCTCATAGATTTTGTTACCATTGCCATGCATTATACGACTGACAGTCTGCAACGGCTGGAGTTAAAAATCTTCATTTGTGTTCTACTGAAGAAACAAAGTCAGCTACATCTTGGATGCCCTGGGGGTAAGCAGATAAACATCAAATTTTCATTTTTGGATGAACTATCCCTGTAACGCTACATCTAAGACTAGCTCCTTCTTTAGGCTCCTTTAAAAAACCACTTTTACTTGCATTGGTGCATGGTTCAACAGGTTAACTAGAAAGGGGCTCTTATTAATTTTATGTATTTGATGCTGTCAGTCATTGATTGATTGTTTTATGTTATGGTGTTATCATGTTATGGTATGGTATTATTATTTAAAATTCAATTCTTGTCAATTTATTGTGTAATTGTACAGCTCATTGATGAACTTCACATTGTTTTAATTGTGCTTTATAAAGAAACAAACAGAAACATTAATTATGAAACTTTCTAGTTTCTTAGAGGGTCTCCGGGATGAATTAAAAAATAGTAGTATTGGCTCATAGTAAATTACCACATTCAACTGAGTGCTAATACTTACTAATTCGTTAATCATCATTTCTTGTTAGTTAAGGAATGGTCCAAAACTCATACTCAGTATTGTGCAAGTCTTACACAATCAGTTACAGGAAACATTGGTGATATGTATTAGTATTTTTCTCACACACACCTAGTTTCACTTTAAAAGATCAGGGCTGTTTCTCAATTCTAACAATGTAAAGAACGGACTCACTTTCTCGTGGGGACTGGTCTTAACAGGCTACCTTGAACGAACGAACTCGGAAGGACACAAGGACACAGAACGCCTCTTTGTGAGAATTGAGATGCGCTGTGATCTTGCTCAACTGAAAGTGTGAGTATAGTAGCAGCCAATGTACAATAAATACAACATAACATCACAAACAAATGTCATAACCTATTATAACATATTAACATTTCATATAATTATGGATAAACATTACTTTCATATTATTCATATATTTCTATTTTACCCTATGTATCTGTAAAAATTTGTTTGTATATTTGTTACCCCTAGTAAAAAAGTAATATATTTAAAATACATTTATTTTATACTAAGTATAGTTCAAATCTATTAACATATTTACTGACAGATAACTTGAGACTTACTGATATAAAAATTATAATTAAACTTTATTTGGCGTGCTACTTGTGCACAATGCACATTTCTTAATATTAAGTCTAAAATGTGTTTTAATGTCACTTTTGATAAGAATTATATGATCTTTGAATAATATCGGTCTTTAAATGCTAAATATTTAAAGTGTACCTGAAGTGTTCTTGCAATAGTTCCACTTTAGCACAATCAAATATACTAAGCATACCTTTAATTGTACTTCAGCACTACTTCTGCACAATTAAAGTGCATTAATTACAAAATTAGTTGTTCCAATTTAGCAGACTTTAAGTATACCAGTTTAGTATACTAAAAATACAATTGCAAGGCATTTTATTAAGTACATAAATATGAAAATGTATTTGTAGCATACTTAGCATGAAATAAATGTATTTCAAATACATTGAAGTATATTTATTTTTCACTAGAGGAGACTTTACGCTGTAGAGTCATTTGAGGTCTCACCTGGATGCTGTTCTTCCCAGTTTTATTTTCAAAGAAATTACACGGTTTCATTTTCATGAAAATGAAACCGTGTAATTTCTTTGAAAATAAAACTGGGAAGAACAGCATCCAGGTGAGACCTCAAATGACTCTACAGCGTAAAGTCTCCTCTAGTGAAAAATAAATATACTTCAATGTATTTGAAATACATTTATTTCATGCTAAGTATGCTACAAATACATTTTCATATTTATGTACTTAATAAAATGCCTTGCAATTGTATTTTTAGTATACTAAACTGGTATACTTAAAGTCTGCTAAATTGGAACAACTAATTTTGTAATTAATGCACTTTAATTGTGCAG